CCCACCCTACTACTTTCACCTAACAATCATTGCAGAGTATTAGGTGGGCTCCACAGAATTCTTTAACCAACAAAGTTTGTTTCTGACTGTGTGAATTTTTAGTGCCACTTTTATTCCTGACTTGTTAAGAATTCTGAGTAAGATTTTTGAGGTTCCTTCTTTGTATGGAAGTATTCCAGATGATTTAAATTCAGTGGAATTCAGGATGGGCATTTCGTGTAATCTGAGACTGGTCAACTGGGTGTACCTGCATACCGCCAAACGAGCAACTATATTTCCACTAAGACTCGAATTCAACATTCATCGTTTCAAACTCCAGAGTGTTAACCATTGGGCCACTGGACCACGAGAGCTAACTATTGTGCAACGGGTATTAGTTATTTTTCTTCCAGATTCAATTTTACTTCCAGTATACTGAATTCCACTGATAGTCGTCTGTCAAAGAACTTAACCCAAAGTTCCTATTATTTGCGAAGACGCTCCGAATCGACAACTACTAAGTATGATTACAGACTTTATCTCCAGAACACAAGAACTTTTTATAAGAAAATATATTCTTCAGTAGTTAAATTTGATCTACCATACAGAATTTTTATTCGTGTTCTTTCGTCTTCTTGCAACTTGTACACGATTGAATCATTCGCGCCTTCGAGTTGCCCGCCAATGGCTATCAAGGTCAATGAACCAACGTTCAATGTTCACATTCCTTCACAGTCGTCACCAATCGAAACAGCATCATGTTAATCTTTTGACACTGTCGGAACATCCATAGCAGGAACAAACATGTTAACACAGACCATGCATTTCAATCCAACATAATCAATCATCGGGAAATATAAAGTAACTCAAAAACAAGCAATAACTTATCAGTTTAAGTTTACTCAGTCTTAAAGTTTTCTGGTAATAATTATAATAATAATAATTAACGTGAAGATCTAGTTAACTAGAGTAACTAAGCCTAAGATTTCTTTTAGGTCAAGATGGCGGGTTTGATGATAACTTGAACAAAACTGTTGTGCATACGCAGTCTCCATTCAATATACAGTCACATGTACGAACAACACAGCATGTTCATGGACAATTTTCAAAATACTTAGAATACTACAGTAGCGTATCTCCTTGGTGTCATTATTTCTATGAAAATCATAAGTATAAAGGTTGAATTTCATGTATGAAAGTGTCTAATAATTAAAGGTCATTCACTCTGGCAGATAGCACAATCTGAACTCAATCAGTTCAAGCACACAAATGAAAGACTAGTTCAATGAGCAGTTTAGTTGAATTTAAATATCTTAGAGTACTCATATTAGCATAGACATCGTAGTAAAATAAATTGTATGCAAAATCCAAAGGAAGGCTGAGGTGAACCAATAGGAACCGTATGAAATACAACATTCTATCTAATAGTTTATTTGTTTGTAATTATACACGGGTCATATGGCAATATAGAATGTTAAAATAAAATAATATGAATTGATTGAGGAATAATAGAGATATATTTTAATTACTTGTTATTTTATTATTATTATTCCCTTGGGTTCCAAGTGGAGCATAGTGCCTCAACAACACATCTCCTTTTTGATCTGTTTTTTGCCGTCCTCTTCATCTGGGTCCATGATTACCCATAATCTCTCATCTACTCCCCGCTCCATGATCTCCTCCATGACACCCTCGCATTAACGACCCACTCGTCACTTCTCATTTGGATTCCACACGAGTTATGGCCTTCATTAAGCGTGATGTCATTCGACGTCCTCCTCAATGAGTGCTCGAACAATTCATCCCCGTTTTCTCCTACATATTTGTCGAGCGATCGGCTCTAGATTGGTTTGTTCATCGCTAGCGGTTTTTGTTGATAATTCTTTCTGACCTGCCGGTTGGCCATTTGACCTTCAGTATGGAGCCAGCCAGCTAAGTGAGCAGCTGTTGATAAAACTCTGCATCAGACTGTCGGAAATGCTTTTTGTGATGTGTTAGTCGAGTTTCTGACCCGTATAGAAGAAGAACTGACCGACTTCACATTTGTTGAAAATCTGAATCTTGTTTTTAATGGTGACTGAGTGCCAAAGATATCCAAATTGGTAATAAGGATAAATATTCAGAATAAAGAGTTTGCTAGTATTTAATTGGTGGATGGTGACTATCAGTGGAATCCAGGATGCGCATTTCGTCCTATTTGGGACCCGTCAGCTGGATGTACCTGCATTTCTCAGTGAGTGATGACGTTCCCACCGAGGCTCGAACCCAGTACCCATAGTTTCAAACGCCAAAGCGTTATCCACTAGACCACTTGGGCCGCGAGAGCCACCTCTTGTGCAACGGGTCGTATTATTATTGAATTGAAATTTTGATTTTCCCGTCAATTCAATAATAATATGACCCGTTGCACAAGAGGTGGCTCTCGCGGCCCAAGTGGTCTAGTGGATAACGCTTTGGCGTTTGAAACTATGGGTACTGGGTTCGAGCCTCGGTGGGAACGTCATCACTCACTGAGAAATGCAGGTACATCCAGCTGACGAGTCCCAAATAGGACGAAATACGCATCTTGGATTCCACTGATAGTCACCATCCACCAGTTAAATACTAACTAAATGCCCAGACATCGTCGAAGCATCTGCACAAGAAGCCGACATGTCAACCTGAGACCGAGCACTTCGGTCCAATCAATCGACGGGAAAATCAAAATTTCAATTCAAAGAGTATGCTGTTTAGACTGGCTACAGCACATAATTCTGGTATACCTGATTAAAGAATGACTAATTAATATTTATAAGTACATTAAAAACGAATTTGACGAACGAATCGACTGTTAACTTTATACAAATGATTTTCCGCTTTGATCCCACTTTTATATCCCAACAAAGCTACATATTCCTGTGTGTTGAATAAAACTTTGAAATACCTACTGTATTCAGTACATTATATTTTGACTATAGTTCAAAATTCATCACTTAATTAGCCATGAGCTGGAAAATGCTTTAAATCATATCAGGGAGTGAATGACGCGGGTTACAACCAACCACTAATGAAACGTAAGTATCCTGAAATTTGTTGATACACCTTGCTAATGAATTTCAAGCATGGTGTGGGAAGCTAGGCACAGAGTTTTCTGCTGATTACCACCCAATATCTTACAGTAAAATATTTTAAAATCTCATTTTTTAAAAGCTGTGGGATTGTATTTTCCTTGGGAAAAAGCCTGATTAAAATTAATCTAATTGCAGCGTACGTATCGCAGAAAACTGTTGTATAACAGTGGAAATTAAAAGCAGACAGGAAAAGAAGGACTGGAAGTTAAAGGAAAAGTATGGTTTCATGCAAGAGGTTTAGAAATCATCATTCATCTTAAAAAGAGGGAAAACAGACTTTTAATAGAATGATAAATCAGACAAATAGAAAACAGAAAGATTAAGCGAAGAAATATTTACTTTTCAATTAGATCCTCATCTCACTCTGGCTCTACTCTAATATACACGTGTAGCATTTTTAATTACAATACACAACAGTTTACCAATCAAGTGGCACCGATATGTTTGTTAACAATAATTAGTCAGTGTCAAAATGTCAATGGGATGATAATTAACGAAGAAGAAAATCAATACACATTTAAAAGGTAGAAATGGTTAGAATAAATTAATTTTACAAGGATAACACTTAATTAAAGATGAAGTGGTCAGAAATAAATAAATAAAATAATTTGGACAATTATAATTTTTATAATTTCTAAAGGTTTAGGGGGAGGGGGACGAAGTAGTCCGGTTTATACATTCATGTAACGATGGCCAAGGTAAGGAATGTGGCTGTACAAATTTCCTCTGACCACGTAGGTTTGGCTTCTTCAGGTGGATTCCTATTGCTTCAGCTGTATGCAGAAGACGAACTCGTAGAGCGAAATTAAGATTAGTCGAAATGCGATAAATAATTTTAAATGCAGTATTAACGTCAACTTTATGCTCACTATCTACATAGTGTGCTTCAATGGAGCTACAAATAGATCTTGTTTGTTCCTTGCTTAACCATGTTGGATGATGTTCGGAAATACGATGATGAACCTACTTAATTGTACGCTGAAGCAATAGGAATCCATCTGAAGAAGCCAAACCTATGTGGTCAGAGGAAATTTGTACAGCCACATTCCTTACCTTGGCCATCGTTACATGATTGTATAAACCGGACTACTTCATCCCCCTCCCCCTAAACCCTTAAAAATTATAAAAATTATAATTGTCCAAATTATTTTTTTATTTATTTCTGACCACTTCATCCTTAGTTACGTGTTATCCTTGTAGAATTAACTTATTCTAACCATTTCACCTCTTAAACGTGTGATTGGCAAACTGTTGTAATGTAATTAAAATGCTATATATATTAGAGTAGAGCCAAAGATGAGGATCTAACTGAAAAGTAAATATTTCTTCGCTCAATCTTTCTGTTTTCTAAATGTCTAAATGGGGATTTTTTCTATATTGAAAATAGACAAAAGCACCATTTACTGAGGTTTTTGCTCCACAAAGATATTATAACATATTAGTTGAGTCATGGCATTGATAGTGTGGGTGTGTAATTCTTTCGAGTAAATAGTTATGTAGATATCGCTTACTAGTCTTGGTGATTTCAAATAATTAATTATATAAAATGAACGTACGAGTTTCCCCTTCCAATGTCATTTTCGGCTTTACTTATTAATCAACTTAGTTTTCAAGCGTTAAATAATTTCCAGGGGAAAATTTTGAGTATGCAAGTGAATGTTTTTCATTAAGTGTAACTGCAGTTTTCTCATAGCCTCCTTTAAAAGAAGTAGGAGTGGGTGGAACAACACAGGATGAAAGTATTTCTAGTAAATCATAATGAATAATAGGCGAAATGGAAGTGCTTTGAATTAATGTGTGTACCAACAGCTAACTATAGTGCGTCGGTAGCACAGCAGTTAGGACGCTCGCTGACCATGCCCATGGTCTGGGGTTCGATCCCCGACCGACGCACTCCTTTACCTCACTAAGCCAGTAGTGAGACTGGTGAAGCAGAAAGGTTGTGCCTGAGGTTAGCAACCCCATCCTGTAAAAATTAAACACTGCTACAGAAACTTCAAGCCCCCTAGCTTGAAGCTCTATATTCCACTGGGAACGTGAAGAAAAAAAACAGCTCACTAGAAACACTTCATCACACACCGATGTGTGCATATGTTCACTCGTGCATACGCTTATATGTTACCTTCTTTTTTTATCACACTTAGCAATATGATTAATATAAATACTGAGAACGATGATGTTACTATAGTGACCGCATAAATAATTTATCTTATATTTATCCATATTATAGGTCATTTTATCCCAGGAAAAATGATTATCTCCTTCCCAATAGATAAACTGTCGGTAATGGGGATATATCAGCCAATTGTTTATAACACACCATTGTACCTAGGCGAAAGTCGGCCAGTATTTCTACATTTCTAACATTATCAGTAGTATGTGTCAGAATAAATTGGTTCTAGGCAAGCGGAGGGGTGGGGGGACAAAAAAGATTGTCTGAATTTATTCACTTCTGATGTTATCTGATTGCTGTACAATGACACTTTTATCAACGAAAGAGAACTTTGAATAGCTGGACTGGGATTTCATGTATTTAAGTTGTATTTAATAATTAAAGTGTGATATATATATTAGGGAACTATTAAGAACCAAGGAGTACTGGACAGCTGTTTTGTTCTTGTTCCGAACTCTTTAGCAATACGTACCTATGACCAGCATTGATAATCGAATTCAGGATCATTAGATTACAGGTCAGGCTCGCTGATCATTGAGCGACTGCGATAGGATCTCATGGCGCAATAATTCTTACTT